AGTAGGAGATAGGGTCCTTTATCAAGGTGATAAGTACAAAGTTGTTGACTTTCACTAGCCGTACGAAAGCTTCGCTCAACTAAGTCAGTGTGAAAGGTCACGCTCAGACAGTCCGTACGATGTATCTTCATGGGTTCTTATCATAAATACTGATGATAAATCAACAAAGTATGAGGCATATATTCCTTACTTAATACATGCAGCTAAAAGGGGCTAAATAGGACAATTGCTCACCGAATAAGAAGTAGTAAAACCGCGCAGCTTGATGTGCATCACGTGACAACTATTTGCACGCGCAAAATACCAGTCTAATATAAATAACTGGATTATCTCGCTCATCTTGTATAATTAAGGACTATGAAATTTACGGTAACAGGAAAACACACTTTTAATTCCGTTTTACTCGATAGAAAAGTTATGATCAAGATACGATTGTCAATTATAGCGGAACTCGGGTTTCGAAAATGTTGGAAAAAAATAACCCGGGAAAGCGGCCGTCCTTTCCATTATTTTCTCATCCTCGTCATATAAGGATATTCCACAAGCGTCAAGATTCCACGTTCATTGTTTTGAACTCTGTGTAGCATTTGTCTGAGTTTGAGTAATGTATATGACTTAACACTTTAACATTATAGTGCGGTATTATCAACCCAGCTAGTTGGTTAATCTGTTGCTGGGTTTGAATTATGTTTACATTTCAGTAAACAACTAATAAACCACGGCCTGACAAGTTGATCTAATGTGTTGTTAAGACTGAGTTCTACAATGTATGTATCGTGACATTTCGATATGATAGTTCTATTAACTCTACACGTCACACACGCGCGGCCAAAACGACCTCGGAGCATTGCTTCGGTGACCTGACATCACTTCACTGTGTTCGTTTATTGTTTAACAATGAATCAATATTTATACATTACTAGGGGTTACACTAACTTATGATAAACTAACAAAACATGACCGTTCATGTCTCACGTATATATTTATTACGTAGATCATAAATGCGTTTTACGAGTGACAGGGCCGGACTCGTCACAGCTGTCAATTTAACAGGGACATAGGATCATCGACTGTAATAAAGTCTGAAAGCTGATTTAGGTTAAAATTTATTATTCAATTCAATGCAATTTTTATTACTTATTTTAGTTAGATCTACTTTTGACTTGAACGTTATATAACGATATATGTAAAACACTCAGAAAAAAGTTTAAAATGAATTACTGCATCACATATAACGTTTAAACCGAGTTAATGCAGCACATATAATATTTAAACTTAATTAATAAATAGCAGACCTAGACCCACCTGTTTTATTAGTCGTGGTAGCTGTTCAATTATTAAGCAGGACTTACGTATAAGCTACATGATATAATTAAACAAAATGTCTATTAGAGATCTCGTATTTGGTATACAATATGATTCGTGATTTCCTTCACGTCGGAGTAACACTCTGTATTTAATACAATACTTAAACAAGTAAATTGTATTGTATTAAATATTTCGAGTCGAGATGTCAAACCGTGGACGCTCTGCCTAGGTAGCCAACACACGTACAGCTGGCATGGTCAGTTTGGTCAGTGAGTGACCCATGATTCGTGCCACATATGTGACTCACAGGTACCGTTCTAATTCACTCAGTGGCCAAACAATATTAATTATAAATCCATATTAACAGTTTTCCTCTTAAATTAAAGACAAAAAGAAAATCTTTTCATCAGATTTACTTTCGTTTGCGCTAGAATATAACTACTTTCAGAAACGAGAGTACAAGCTAACAATACTTTCCATTAGCAGCTTTATGTAGGTATTATACATTAATTATATTTACATTGTTTCTGAAGTCAGGCTATTAAATATACATAGAAAACCGTCAAGTGCCATAGGGGCTGAACAATTTCAAGTTGTCGTACTCTATTGTACCAGGGAAACATGACACAGGTTGAAGGGCACTTCAAACTATTTGACATACTGACTAGTTAGACGTGATCGATACTTTCGGTTCGTTTGTTTAAGGGCAGGAAACCCCATAATATTTTATAATCTGTTTATTACGGTAAAATACCATAGGGACCAGACCCGTGTAGATATGTTTATGTAAACAAACACAAATTACGAAGGAAGACATTTTTTAACTCGTGCCTTGTCCGGACCTCGAACACATCATCTCCGGCACCAAATCGCATACCCATCTCTTACTATCACCCAATTACATCACCCTCAAAATGGGGGAATTGATATTGGTCAACATCCTTATCCCGACATGATCATGGTGACAAATCGTCTGTAAGTCCTTAGATCGCCAAGTATAAATACACGAAGACGATTAGATACGCACCAACAAAATGTATATACAATGCGTACAAAGCAAGGATTTAGAAAAAAGGGGGAATTTAATTTTGTTTACCAATATCCATGGCACACACAGTGTCTGTGTATACTACCTGTGTATTTGCTGTCCGTACATGAGTTCCCACAGTGTCTGTGTATACTACCTGTGTATTTTCTGTCCGTACACGATATCACGCAGTGTCTGTGTATACTACCTGTGTATTTTCTGTCCGTGCACGAGTTCACACAGTGTCTGTGTATACTACCTGTGTATTTTCTGTCCGTGCACGAGTTCACACAGTGTCTATGTATACTACCTGTGTATTTTCTGTCCGTACATGAGTTCACACAGTGTCTGTGTATACTTCCTGTGTATTTTCTGTCCGTGCACGAGTTCACACAGGGTCTGTGTATACTACCTGTGTATTTTCTGTACGTACATGAGTTCACACAGTGTCTGTGTATACTACCGGTGCATTTTCTGTCCGTACATGAGTTCACACAGTGTCTGTGTATACTACCGGTGCATTTTCTGTCCGTACATGAGTTCACACAGTGTCTGTGTATACTTCCTGTGTATTTTCTGTCCGTACACGAGTTCCCACAGTGTCTGTGTATACTACCTGTGTATTGTCTGTCCGTGCACGAGTTCACACAGTGTCTGTGTATACTACCGGTGCATTTTCTGTCCGTACATGAGTTCACACAGTGTCTGTGTATACTACCTTAGTATTTTCTGTCCGTTCATGAGTTCATACAGTGTCTGTGTATACTACCTGTGTATTTTATGTCCGTACACGAGTTCACACAGTGTCTGTGTATACTACCGGTGTATTTTCTGTCCTTACATGAGTTCACACAGTGTCTGTGTATACTTCCTGTGTATTTTCTGTCCGTACACGAGTTCACACAGTGTCTGTGTATACTACCGGTGGATTTTCTGTCCTTACATGAGTTCACACAGTGTCTGTGTATACTACCTGTATATTTTCTGTCCGTTCATGAGTTCATACAGTGTCTGTGTATACTACCTGGGTATTTTCTGTCCGTACATGAGTTCACACAGTGTCTGCGTATACTACCTGTGTATTTTCTGTCCGTACATGAGTTCACACAGTGTCTGTGTATACTACCTTAGTATTTTCTGTCCGTTCATGAGTTCATACAGTGTATGTGTATACTACCTGTGTATTTTCTGTCCGTACACGAGTTCACACATGTCTGTGTATACTACCTGTGTATTTTCTCTCCGTACACGAGTTCACACAGTGTCTGTGTATACTACCTGTGTATTTTCTGTCCGTACACGAGTTCACACAGTGTCTGTGTATATTACCTGTGTATTTTCTGTCCGTACACGAGTCCACACATGTCTGTGTATACTGCCTGTGTATTTTCTGTCCGTACACGAGTTCACACATGTCTGTGTATACTACCTGTGTATTTTCTGTCCGTACACGAGTTCACACAGTGTCTGTGTATACTACCGGTGTATTTTCTGTCCGTACATGAGTTCACACAGTGTTTGTGTATACTACCTGTGTATTTTCTGTCCGTACAGGAGTTCACACAGTGTCTGTGTATACTATCTGTGTATTTTCTGTCCGTACACGAGTTCACACATGTCTGTGTATACTACCTGTGTATTTTCTGTCCGTACATGAGTTCACACAGTGTTTGTGTATACTACCTGTGTATTTTCTGTCCGGACATGAGTTCACACAGTGTCTGTGTATAAAACCTGTGTATTTTCTGTCCGCAAATGAGTTCACACAGTGTCTGTTTCAGCACTGGGGTTTGGCATGCGCTACGAACGATACATTCGAATGAATAAAGCGTTCTGAATATTTTATATGTAAAAAACTTGCAGCGACAATTTATATATGTAATGAAGAGAAACGCTTTATACAGGTTGTATTAAGGTTCAATAATCCATATAAATAATTTGTTTGTGTATTCATCGCTTGTATAAAGGTTAAAAAAATACCAACATGTTTCAGTATGCCGTCTCAAAAGCTGCAGGGGTTTAAATCCAGCTCTTGGGCAAAACATTATTTGTTTTACACAAATGCCAGTCGCGCTATCTGCCGGAATAGTACAATGGATAGACAATCGATCAGCAAATAGCAAACGTAACAGATCACGTATGAGAACAATTGTTTATTATCATTCATCTTGATAATGAGTGTACGTATTTTCACAGACAATAAGTATCTTCTTTAAATCAGAGCTGCAATGTACACGCTTGCCAGATCTTTTAGTTGCAATGAATGGTCATATGAACGAGGTATTAAAATTTGTATTTAGAAAAGTCACTCATGTGGATAGCTCAAAGTTGGTTTGATATGGTGTTCCTAAATAAAGCATTAAGTTATATAGAACCACGTGTACATAATGATACTATTCCAATACATTTTAAATCTTTTTGAGGTTTTCTTAAAACTGCCTCCATTTTACCTTTTTGTGGGAGAGGAAGAGGTTGAAGAAAACGGTCTAAAATTTGTGTGAATATCTTGCCAGGCCGAAACGGTTTGTTAAATGTTCGAATTTCGCTCAAACCATGTCTGGGACACATATAACATATTCGAATTCATGCTGTCTTACACTGTAAATATAGGAATTTCAGTAAAATTCAGGTCAATTTAGCAATATGAAATTATTCAACATACTACCTTTGGCTTGTCCTTTATCTGTCGTCTGCTGTTGTGTATCGTCTGCAGGTTTCTCAGGACTTTCTTCTTGTTGCGGAGCTTGGGATTTTTGAGGTTCCTCTGATTTGTTCACTCCGTTCTCATGAGGAGCCTGGCCTTGTTCACTTGAAGGGGGTGCGCTGTTCGGGTCGCCTCCGGCGGTACTGTTGCTGCACCCCATGATATTCACTAGAGTTTCTGACTTGATATCTGAAGATTTTTTCTCACAAAATCTTTCAAACGCTCCTGTGTGTTTCTTAGAAAACAAGACACCAGATCGACATTTAAAGCCGATTGATACTTAAATTTTATCAATATAAATAGTTTTACAAATCCCTCGGTCTTTTTAAAATAACACAACTGATAAACACTACAACCTGGACAGTGTATTACTAACACGTGTGTGCATGGCTCACGGCATGGGCACTGCTTCTAGACGAACACTGATGTTTGTTTCTCTTTGTTTTCACGTTGTTATGGCGACCCCAGTTTCAGCCTTTCAATTGGGCCATTCACCACTTCGGGTAACCAACAATGAATTTGCATCCAGGCATTTTATAACACAGGTTAATCTAATAGTATTGCTGAGAACTGCTCATTTAATTTTCCTGTATATTCCGTATAGAATTAAGACAGCCGTGCGTGCCTGTTCGACCCTTTTGAACACACCATACCTATGTTGATCCATTGACCGTACTAATCAAGTTGTCATATATATTCATACAAATACCTGTCCGTCAGTCTACTTTATGAAAATCCAGGTAGGGATTGTCTCCTGGGTGGAGAATAATATACAGCTTACCTGTTCATCCAGGTGTTGTTCATCGTATTATTTAAATAATACTAGACGAGATTTTACCTGGCTTTCTGAAGCACGCTCTGGTGCGATCAGGTATCTGTATAAATCAATGCCCTTCGCACATTCTTTTAAACTACATTCACGATCATGAACTATCTTTGTTCCGGCAAATATATGTCTCTTGTGTAAGTTTGACTTGAATACTTTAATTTTCCCCAACAACCACCTTAATAATGGAACGAATACATTTTTCTTGTTTATCACAAACCAGATATGCATTGATTGTGAAATGCGTTGGTGGGTTTTACCTGGACACGACAGCCAAGATAGGAACGCATTTAATTAGAGGTCGGCACGATCCAACTGTTGTATCTTAGACCCATCAATGTCAAACCCAAGAACTCTTGGGATCGAACAGAACGTTCCCTGTCCAATCTCAACTTCACTTGGACTTTCCCGGTGCAGCATCCGATTTGTTAGTGAACTCAAGGTGACCCCCCGCGATGGGATCACCAAGGCGTCAATTGATTATACACGGCTACAATTGGTTGTCTGATGAAAGCAGACAGACATAGACACATTTCGATAAAATAAGTTTTAATACGGGACAGGACTAGAAGAAACGTGTGTGTGTGAATAGTGTCATTCCGGAGAATCAAGTCAATGCAAAATGTGGTATTTTAGCACCAACATTGGGTGCAGCAGGTAGCGTCTAATGGGTTCTCATCATAAAAGCGATTAAATCAAACGCCATGTGATTTGCTGGAACGTAATATAATTTGTTAGCGGATTTTAATCTAATGAAAATAGTGAAAGGCAACATGACGTCATTTGTGGCATTTCAAATATGACGTCATTTATCATATTTTAAAAAGAAGTATGAAAAAAATATATACAAATGCCAATGTATTTAATACGCTTCTGATTGAAGCACGTTATACATGTATAGTCATCCTTTCCCCCGACATTAATTGTTGTTAATTTGGTCATAGAAACACACCCGTATATAACGTCAAACAATCTTATTTCTTTTATTTAAATAAAAATACTCGATTAAATAAGTCTTCAGCATTATAAAAACGATCATGGCATTATAAAATGTGTACATGGTTTATGTAGAAACACCTAACAAAACAATCACACTATTATAAATCAGAAACAGTATCAATAGTGTACAGTGTATAGCTACAATATAACGAGATATTTTATATTAGTTGGTGTATATGATAAGTTATTTATTCTTCTACCACAATACGATGTGTTATTCCACTCTCAGATCATTGTATACGCAAACTGTTAGATAACTTTATACCACACGTGGTATATGACCTTCAAGAGTTTTGATTGTTCGAGAAGATGAACTTTGACCGGAACGACTTTTTCCACGAGCTTTTTGCCACATGCTGTTTTGTTTACGTCGTCTGCTGTCAACATCCGACAAATGTTGGTGACTTTGTGAGGTTATGCAGAAAAGGGGGTTATTAAGGCAATATTAAAAGAAGGTGATGCTTAAAGATTTGATCGTTAGTTTCAGGCAAAATTGCTACAGACGCTCGATATCGTTTCGACGTCACACCGTCGCGTGTCCAGGTCGTGAAACCAAAACAAGATCTGTCACAGGTGTCGGAAAATATTTCGTTCCTCCAACGTCTCGTTATCGCTATTTGGACGGCCTGACTATGGCTGAACTTCCACAATAAACGTCAACCATAGAACCGTCACGAAGAAACGTAGGCCTAACTGTTATGGTTTTGGACATTGGCAGCGATACGTTCGTCTTCATCACTTGGCGGGAGGCAGACTTCGTACGATATGCTTACGCGCATGTAGTCCGTGGTTAATTTATATAAATTAATGCAATACTGCTACTCTCAATATTTAAAGTCGTTCATCTATTATATTTTTTCATGTAGTTGTTGCCTAATAATATTCATTTTGACAATTATTAAATTCGGATAAAAAGTCATTTTTGAATATTAATGAGTGACTTTTTACATATGGGTCATATCACTACGCCAGCCTTGTCAACAAACACGTGTGTATGTTATTCCCGACTGATCATGAGATTGTGGTAGAAACAGATCACACGACTCGTGGTTGTTGAGTATGGCATTTATTTCACTCTCGTTAGTTAATTTTTAAAAAATTACAGAAAGACACTCGCCAAAGCTCGTGTATTTTGTAACTTTTGAAAATTAACTAACTCGAGTGAAATAAATACCATACTCAACAACCACTCGTTGTGTAACCTCTATTTACAAAATGACCGATGTGTACCATCACGGCATTAGATTGTTAGCTAAGTCCGTGGTTCCATTAATGAAGGAGTTTCCTGCTTTCTTTTTCATTTTTCTTTTCCAACCACGAATCTCGCTATCTTAAAATCATCAACAAAACCAGTTACTTTTTAACAATAAACAGCTAAAGGTATGATGAACACTTAATCCGTTGATCATAATATCATTACCGAGTAGGGATCGGAAGTTTGAACCATTCCTAACACTTGGGACCAGATGTGTCTTTTTAAAACATTGTATAAATGCTATTCGACACTATATTTAAATCACCAGCATTTTTTTTATATCTGTTACAGAAATTACACAGGAATCGATTATTAATCTAATGTCGATCGATCTTTATTAGATTATGCAAAGTTACTACTCAACACCAGCTAATTGCCCGTGTTGATGGGTCTTTTGTGTGATTCTTATGACGCACACAAAGCACTTGATTAATGAGACGTGTGCCAGGCGAGGACAACAATCTGGACGACGAACGAGGAAACACAGGACCTTGTGAACCAGAAGATTGGGTCACAGCCTCTCTAAAACCACACTCTAAAGGTCGTGATATTGAATCCTTATGAATGGAATGTTATTTAAGAATTTCCTTACTTTCGAAATTATTCCAGATGGAAGTTTAAGGTAAAGTGTTGGTAAATCTAACCAGAATTTGAACGTCCGGACACCTGTAATTTTTTGTTGTTTAACTGCCCATCGCTGACCTTAGTCATTTAGGAACAAGGTGATAACTTAATTCAGCAGAATTAAAGCAAATTTATCATGCCATGTGCCTCATGAGGTACCGGGAATGCTGCACTTCCGGAACCACATGGGTTTGTCTCCATTTTCGCACTAGTATATCTCTCCTTTTATTTTGTTATTTTGCACTTGAAACTTTTTCTTTTTCTGTATACAGTAACCTCCCCTTAACTTCCGCTTTGATACCATTAGAGTGATAGTATAACATTGTTAAGTCTAGGGTTGAACTTACCACGCAATCACCTCTTAGATGACGAATACTTTTGTTGATTTTGTGGAAAATGTGCTGTAGAGGAGGGGTTGGAATTGCGGTTTGGTAAATGAACATAATATTATGATTGACAGTTAATTGGAAAAGAGTGAATTGATGTTCATTATCGGTTTTACAACCAGATATTTTTTATGATTAGGTTGTTTAATAATCTTATCAGGTGAATAACCTTTGCTCATTTTGGCATGTAATATAGATGTAATAATACACCTATTGTTACACATGACGGTCACTTTTGTGCTTCTTGAAAATATTGAAAAACTATTGAAACCTTGAAATCTCTTGAAATCTCTTGGAATCTTGTTTAGATTATTACGGTTATGGACATGATTTAGATGGACTTCCAATGTGTATGAGATGTGTTTAAATCTGTCGTCAGTGAACTAGAAAAGAAGGTTGAAATTGGGAATCTAAGATCTAAGAAAGATGCTTTGCAGAAACAGATATTTAAGAAAAAGGCAAAAAGGAAAAAGAAGAGAAACGCTGAGAAAAAATGAGGACTTTATTTTTGCCACATCTGTTGAGGACAACATCAAATTCGATTTCCATTTACCATAACGTCAACACAGTAGGCCAATCAATCGATACGATGAGAGATGCATCAGGAGCGGGCGAGACATAGAAACAAAAGGAAAACGATCATGGACCAACACCGGGTGAACTCGTACTTTGAATAGGAACTGTTGCATTTTCCTAAATAAGTACAAGATGTCCAATATCTAGTAAACCAGTGTTGTTATGATGAAGATGTCGGTAGTCAAGGGAAGTCTCCAGATCGTGGTTCTTAATGACATCCACTATCGATCTTTTGAACATCTGACGTGCCACTGGGTACTGTGCAGTTAAGTAGAGTGGCGATAAATACTGCATGTGTTCTGTTGTTTTCTTTTGTACGAGCTTCTCTATATACGTCAAGGGACCATATCATACCAATTTCTATATGTATATTAGCATTACCACGAACTTACTGAATCCTGATATAGAAATGCAGTCATTGTTAAGGCAACGCGATTCAAGGTTTCACACTGTGACATGTTCATGCATTATGAATTTAATATGGATGTAACCGGTTTATGTTTAAACTGCATGATTGTTTATTTATACAGTGATCTCAATACTAGCATTCATTCAAGGTATTTAAGTTACTATACCGTCTGTTCAAACAATAGTCCTTGAATAGCCTGACGTCACCTAAATGGTTGCTTCTCACGACGTGTAACGCTACGCGCCCCAGACTGTCCAATATTTTACATAATAAACAGTTTGAGGCTTATATCTTACTTACCCCCCCCCCCCCCCCCCCTCTTTGTGTTAATTAATATTGGACAGTTTCAATATCTGTTCAGTATGTGCAATCAACCACGAAGGATATTAATACAATAAAGGACAGTGGCGTCCTTTAGCATACTTTGCATGCTTTTGTCCAACAGTGAAGGTGCGTTCCCAACACATCCCTGTACAGTATATTTTGAGCATCAGCATTCAGTATTGTGATGGATTAAATTCAAATAATGTGATTGATTTATTGAAGAAAGTGATTACAGTATATTTCTGGGATTATATCTGTGAGAGAAGGAAATGAAAGAATTAAACCACACAGTTAAAGTGAGAAAATTAAAGATTTCAACATCACCTCCTAAATATTTTCATCAAAGTCATATCACAGCTATATATCTGGGATTATACACGAATATCTCAAGGGAGGATACGAAAGAA